TTTGGTGTGGCTTCTCCTCCCCCACCTCCCTCCTGTAAGATGGGGAAACGTTAATGACTGTAAAAAGTTCTCCCTCTGATGGAAGAAACCACAGAAATGTAAACTTTTTTTTTTGTTTGTTTTTGTTTTTAAACCACACTTGCAAGGATCTCAGTTCAAATTCTAAGTTTCTCCGATCAGGGGGTAGCCGTGTTAGTCTGTATCTACAAAAACAACAAGGAGTCTGGTGGCACCTTAAAGACTAACAGATTTATTTGGGCATAAGCTTTCGTGGGTAAAAACCTCACTTCTTGAAGAAATGAGGTTTTTACCCACAAAAGCTTATGCCCAAATAAATCTGTTAGTCTTTAAGGTGCCACCAGACTCCTTGTTAAGTTTCTCCTGTTCAACTGAGAACATCCCACAAACCAAGCAGGGAGCTACATGCCTTCCAACAGGGGTAAAGCTTTCCCAAAGTATGGCGAACACATGGATAGAAAGATGGTCACATGGAACAACTCTTTCCTCTCTCCCCATCCGCAGTACACACACTCTTCCATTTACAAACCCAGAATTCCCTTATGGCAGCTGCAGCAACTGCTCACATGGAAAAAGTTAGGATAGGAAGGATTACAATACAAAGAACAAGATTTAGTGACTTAAGTTTTGTTCCTTTTGACATGAGTCAAATTTTCCCCTCCTATCCATTCTGTTCCCCTACTCTGCACCCTCACTGCAGATATGTTGCCCATCTATTTCATTCCCTCCTCACCCAGCCACTCCTCTGGTCTTGGTGGCTGGTAGGCACTAATTCCAGGGCAGCTCTGATATTTGAAGGCTGCTCCCACTTCCTCTTATGCAAGAGTGGCTACTTGTGGAGGCAGGTAAGTTTCCTCCTCCTGTTTCCAACGGCTTTTACAGGCCTCCAGGCTGCTTGCAATGAAGACCCTGGACACCTGTAGCAGGAGGAGGAAGGGAAAAGGCCAAGATCCACAAATGGACTTCGGCACCTGTACAGTCCACAAAACCATTGCTCGGCTGCCACCTAACCCTGTAGGTACCTAAACTAACTCAGCACCTAAGTGTCACTGAAAAAGTTCCCTAGGTGCCAAGTTCCTGCCTCTGGGCATGCACGCTGCTGCCTCACTTGAGATGTCTGGATGCCTATCTCTCATCTAAACCCTTGTGTGATCCTTGAACCAGGGGAAGATAAGTGTTGCCCACACCTCTCTCACTTTTGAGTCCTGACGCAGTAAGCGTGCTCAGAGCATGCTCACTGGATCAGTACCCACTCTAACTAAGAAGGTGGTGGTGGTCCCTCCCTTATAGCTTTGCGCCCTGGGATTAGAGCACTCACCTGCGATGTGGGAGATCTCAGTTCAATTCCACCCTCTGCCTAATGGAAAGAAGGGATTTGAACAGGGGTCTCCCACCTCTCAGTTGAGTGCCCTAACCACTGAACTATGGGATAGTCTGATGTAGGTCTCTCCTGTTGATCCTGTTCCATTTTAAATGAGTAATTAAATAGTCACTGGGGTAGGTGGACTGGACCCAGGGTCTCCCATATCCTAACCACTAGTCCCTTTGTGGATCCAGGCCTATGTGACTAGCCAGCTCTCTGCAGATCAAATAACGTACTCTGGACCACAGTGCAACTGCTCCCTTACATTACTTTAAGGATTAGCAAGATATTCTATTATTGCAGAAGAACTACAATTTGTAGTTTTAAGGCTACTGGTGAACTCTGAACATCTTAACTAGAGCTGGTCACAATTTTGGAACAAAGTTGGTTTAGACTTAAAAATCCTAAACTGTCTCAAGTTGTGTGAAATTTTGTGGCAAAAACAACTGTGGAGTTCAAACACTTGTCTCGTCCATCAACAGAAGTTGGTCCAATAAAAGATATTACCTCACCTACCGTATCTCTAAGATTTGAAGAGACATTTATCCTATCATTGTTACTGTTAGTGGCTTTTTTGGGTAAATGAAAAATTTATAGTTGTTTCAATAAAGTGAAAAGTAGGTCTGGTTTGAACCCTGCAAAATGGAAGTGGGTTCTTAACCAGTTTTCTTCCTTTATTGTTAAGATCCTTAGATAGGAGCCATATACAATTATTTTAAATGCTTTACTAAAATTAATTATGCCTCTGAGGTAAGAAAGTACCAGGGTAACTTGCAGCACTTCAGTGTAGACATTACCTATGCTGATGGGAGGGTTTCTCCTGTTGGCATAGGTAATCCATCTGCCTGAGAGGCGGTAGCTAGGTTGATGGAAAAATTCTTCTGTCCACCTAGCACGGTCTACACCGGGTATTAGGTCGGTATGGATCCACACCCCTGAGAGATGTAGATGTGCCAGTGTAAGTTCCCAGTGTACACCAGCCCTTATTCACATTTTACAGAACCCCTTAACTTAAGTTCCCTTAAGTAACACAGCAAGTCAATGGCAGCTGGGAATAGAACCCTGGAATTCTCATGCTTTGCCCTTCCAGACCATCCTTCCTCCCTCTTTATATAAAGGAGTATTTCACTTTTAATGTATTATTTTGGACTGCTGATAAGGTACTGCCTTGGATCCTACCCTGGAGTGAGTTACACCTCTATGTCATTCTCCCTTACGTCTGCTACCAGATCTAGAGTGTGGATCAGATGAATATAGTAACAGGTCACACAGTTCTCTCCTCCAGCCCTTTGATCTTTCTGCAGGTTCACAAGATAGTCTTGGATTTGGAGGGCAAGGACCATCCCGTTCTATTCCCACGGACAGACTACCCAGTCTTCCAAGCTAATGAAGGGAATTTACAGATAAGCAAGTGTCACCTGGGTGGAGTTAAGATGCACTCCCTACATTCTACTGCAAATGCACCATCTTTCTTACAAAGAGTGTAGTCAAGGACAGTCCCTACTTACCTCAAAAATCAGTGTGGCATTGGGAGGTATCTTAGGGGGGCTCCCAGCAGAACCATAGGCATATTCTGGTTTGCAGGTAATCCGACAGATTTCCCCAATCTTCATAGTTGCCACAGCAATGTCCCAAGCTTTGATCACCTCACCTGCACACATCAGAGCTCAGTCATATAATTGCTAGGCATATACCAAAGAAGTCAACTGCCATGAGATACTGGTCATTACTATTACACAAACACCCAAAAGTTGATTGGGCACTTCATAGAAACGACAGACTTGAGTCTGCTCTCACTTCAGCTTGTATATATCAGGATTAATTCCACTCAAGTCAAAATGTGGAAGTAATCAAAATCTGGCCTACAGTGCTGAACCCTAAATTGTTGCTCCCGTAATTCCTCCCCTCCCCCCAATCTTTTGTCTACACAGAGTGCAAGCCATCTGAAGCAGGGACTATGTCTGAAGTTCCTGGCACACTGCCAAGTGCTGTGAAATAATAATAATAAACTCTTGGAAGAGGAAGGTCTTAGGGTGTGAGATTTTTCATATTTTGAAAACAGACAATCCACAACGATGGTCTTTTCTCTTTGTACTTTATCAATTGGCAGAGGCCAGCACAAATGTTATCCAGATGCCCTTCAACATGAAGCAAACATCTAGGTGAAGAAGCTCTGCTACTGCTGAGGACAGCTGGGGCACTAACTCCTTTAGACATCCCTAGAACTTGCCTTCTTCCCACCCCGCCGCCCCCCCCAAGCTCCCACCCTCCAAAAGATAAAGTTACACACAATTATAAAGGAGGAAAAAGGGTTTCTTCTGAAGCCAGAGACCAAATAGAGGCCTAAACCTCCGATGACATGGCCACACCAAGCCCTCTTATTCACTGCCCCTTATCCAATTGGTACACTATTCCTTGTGCTAATTATTTTAGGGCAGTCAATTTTACCCTGTCCCCTAATTTTAACTGTGCTGAAATTTTTGTATTGACAAAACGTAAGTGCCAGGTACAAGATGTCTGGGAGAAGCTGGAAGTTTTGAAATGGTGGAAGGAGTGACTAGGCTTCTGGCACCAAGGAGATAGTTGAGGCATGCTTTTCTTCTTTCCTGCTCCCTTTTGACCAAGGATGACTTAGAAGTTTATGGGCAGAGGGGCTGGTTTCCTCATTCTCCACCTCCACAGTTTGACAAGTGCCCCACTGCAATCTGCTTCAATATCCAACCATCAAAAATAGACATGGCTTGCTTGATTTTTCTTCCAGGATGAGAGGAGTGAAATGGCTAGTGTGGATATTTTAAGTTATCATTACAGTTCAGGGTGAATCCCCCACGGAGATGAATGTGACAGTTCACTTATGTAGGCTATTGTTTCAGACCATCTGCATTCTTAGGGCTTCTCTACATGAGGAAATTAATCCATATTACAATACGATGTTATTTAAAAGGGAATAGTTTTTCCATGATTAACTTCCTATGTGGATGATCTTGTTCTGGAATAAGAATGCCTTATTCCAAATTAGCTTAATCCACTTTGGAAGTGCATTAAGAAAATCTGAAAGAAGGCATTCTTATTCTATACTAAGAACATTCATACAGAGAGTTAATTGGGCAGAATTAATCAGGAATGACTTCCCATGTAGACAACCCCCTTAGGCAGGCATTGCTGCATTGACAACCTCCTGAATGTGAATGGAGTGTATTCTTCAAAAATCATCTAATAATTTAAAAAATTAACATTTAGTTCCTGAAGCACAATTATGTAGGCGTTTTAAAATTTGCAATTATGGAACAATTAAATATAGCCACAATCATTATACATGGGGCCTCAGTCTGAATGGTGCCAAACAGACTGTTAAACACAAAACATAGGATGTTACCTTTCCCCAAATCAAATGAGAACTTGTCTTTCCTGTCCAGGCTAGAGTCAAACTTTGTGCCATCCAGAAGCCATCCTGTATAATGGACAGTCACTTTATCACCTATCATGGGAGACTCTGTCCCAGTTCCTTCCGTCTTGATAACCTGAGAAAGAAATGCTGAATAAGTGATACTGAGCTGGATACAAAAAATACAGTTTGGATAATAAAATCACATAACTCTGCCATGTGTATAACACTAGGCAGACCTAAACTATCCTAAGAGGTAACACTTTGTTCTTTAGATTAGAAATTAGGCAAAACAGCTCTCTCAGCTTCCTTGTATCTATACAGATTTCCTGTATAGGATGCCAACTGGGGAGATTACTACTATTACTGTATTTTATTCACCCTAAAATACTACCTGGTTACAATAAGCTATTCTTGCATTTGAACTATTTTGGGTTGGTACGTGTACCTTTTGCTCTGAAAGAGAAAGAACATTTTTGAAGCTTTGAATCTAAGAGTCAGGCATCCAAATATGCATTAGCCATCTAGATTTAGGAGCCTAACTACAGGCACTAGGTTTGAAAATTGCAGCCTTTAAAGATGCACTAACTCTCTGAAAGGAAGCAAGTGAAAATATCAGGTTTCCAATAGAGGTTTGTTTTTTGTTTTGTTTTTTTAAATGGTAACTAAATCCAACAACAGGATTTACCCATCACAAAATGGGAAAGTTTAGGAGAGACAGTTTTAGCACAACACTGGGGATTATTTTGGCAGGGAGAGAAAGGTGGTCATCACAATTTCTCCCAATTTCATGAATGAGTGAGATTAACTTCCTCTCAGAGCTGAGAGGAAATCACTGACATACTCATGGAAATATTTTTATCCCAACATTGAACAAACCACTGTTAAATACGTTAGCAAAGAGTTGCTTACATAATTGCTTCACAGCATAGTGCAGGGGCAGGCAACCTATGGCACGTGTGCCGAAGGCAGCACGTGAGCTGATTTTCAATGGACTCACACTGCCTGGGTCCTGGCCATGGGTCCAGGGGGCTCTGCATATTAATTTAATTTTAAATTAAGCTTCTTAAAGATTTTAAAAACCGTATTTACTTTACATACAACAATAGTTTAGTTATATATTATAACCTTATAGAAAGAGACCTTCTAAAAACGTTAAAATTTATTACTGGTACGCGAAACCTTAAATTAGACTGAATAAATGAAGACTCGGCACACCACTTCTGAAAGGTTGCCGACCCCTGGCAGAGTGCCTATTTGGAAAAGGGACACTATCAGCTAACTTTTCATTCCCCAGACTTTAAAGGGACGTCACCCAAAAGTTAGGAAGTACCAAAATTAAGGTAATCCACAAAATCTTAATTCTGTTTCCTTGTGCATATGCTTTATGGCTGTCTTAACCACAGAGGTAGAACTTTGTACTAAAACGTACGTGCAGTGAATGAAAAAGAAGCCCTGCCTCTTTCTGTGTGAGGACCTGTTCTAACATTAGATGGGGAGTTAGGACTCCTGGGTTCTATTCCCAAATCCAAGTGTTATCTAGTTGGGGACAGAGTTAAAGCTCTTCAGTTACATGGTACTCATTCATCTGTGGACTCACAGCACTTTGTAAAGGTGGTGGGGGATAGTCCATTTTACAGACAACATATCCAAATATATAGATTTGGCATATTCTTTCCAAGCAGCACTGCCACTTGGGCTCAATTCCCAGCTCGACAAGCAGTAACCTCCTGCAACCTCATTGATCCTCAGTTACCCTATCTGTAACATGGGAAACATTACTTGCCTTCCTCCTAAGGTACAACTCTACCTCGATAGAACCCACCGGAGTGCGCAGCTCCGCCCCCCCGGAGGGCTGCTTTACCATGTTATATCCGAATTCGTGTTATATCAGGTCGCATTATATCAAGGTAGCGGTGTACGAGGCTTTACCCAGTAATAGGAACCCTCCTGTGTGCCCCTCCTACCAGCTTCATCCTTGAAAAGGACTGAACTGTAGCATTTAAGGTAGAGCGCAAGCACAGTTTCAGTCCAGAATGAGAGAGTTTGACAGGACTTATCAGCAATTGAAACAGAGTGCTATAATAATAGAAAGCCACCAGTGCCAGCTGTAACAGAAAAAGAAAATTCCCCTATTTGTATAGATTTATATAGGGAGAAAAGCCCAAAAGCTAAATACAACCCGTCAGCCACTACATGATGGTCAATAGCTGCCATCCCTCCTGCCCAATCTGAGGGTTGCTTTAAAAAAAAAATTGCTGATGAACTGAGACAAACAACTTCATGACATCTGTCAAGGAAAACAGACGTTCAAGCAACTGCTATGGTTGTAGGCCTCTATTTTTGGATTTAGGCAAGTCTTTGGGTCTTGGAAAATTACCAAAGTAGCCCTTGGTGTCACCAATTGTATGCCACCTGCTGCTTTAGATTTTAGAATTTTTTTTATTAAAAAATAATAATAAAAATCCAGACCTGAATTGTCAGGAGTGGCTATTGATGTGGAGGTGCCAATCTGAGACCTCCCTGAAGTGGGGTCACTCTCAGAAAGTACAGGGCACTCACTCTGAAGAGTCAAATTCCTTTAAGATGTCTCAGCTTAGGCACTCAAAAAAACCCCAACCAACCAAAAAGAGAGCCGTGCCTGACTTTGCACCACTTATGTGTGGTTTACTTTTTGTGCTTCATTCCGTTTGGATGATAGCAAGTATCACCTGCAATACTGACAGCGTTTTCAATTTCCTATCCTGAATGAAATGTTTACATTTCCCTTCCAAGAGAATCTCAATTTTTCCATTCATAATATGACTATGCTCCCTATGCTCTCATTTTTAGGTTAATTTTATTTATTGAAAAGCAAAGTGCTGGGCCCAAACTCATAGGCAGGTGCTGCTTCCAGTAACCAAGGTACAGCCATTGGGTCTGATTGTAATCTAACACTGCTGAGAAACGGGAGCAACCACACTGAAATCTAGGGAGCTGTACCAGTGAAAAATTGTAGTATGAGAGATCAGTCAGGCTCACTGATTTCAGTGGGGTTATGCCACACAAACTGCCAGTCTGCAGAATCTGGACAGGACTCTAAGACTGAGAAAATCCTATTGTTTCATCCCTCCCAATTCTGCTGCTCCAAAGTCAATACACAAAAGCCCCTTGACTAATTATAAGAGCCTCTTAATGCTATAATTCTGTAGTAGCTCAAGAACAGAGGCAGACCACACTGCTCTTCGTGCTAGTTCATCTTGCCAGCTAACCCATGATCCCTACCAAAGTATTTGCATTTGGGCGAGTAGGGACTGACTCCCCTCACACCCTGGAGACACAGTCAGGAGTGACTTTACAGGAGTCCCTGGGCCTGGTGCTCCAACTCCATTACACTTGTTTCATGCCAGCGTAACTCCATGGACTTCTACTGATGTAAGAAGTGTGTGTGCGTGTCTAAATAAAATCCCCTTGAGAAACTGTTGGATGGACTTCACGTCTCCCTCACACCTTGTCGTGGCATGGATGCCATGACTCTTCTGTTCACTGTCTTTGCGTCTCTCCTTTTCCTCAGTTCTTTCCCCACCACCACTCCCTTCTGGTCTTGTTTCACTCATTGGAAAGCTTCATGCTGCTTGGGGTGGGGACAGAAGGTACTGTTCTTGAGCCATGGCCTTGTGTTATGGGAGCTCAGACACAAAGGTTGGATCAGCAGGCTACTTCTTGAGTCCACAGCCTGTACCTGAGAGCTAGCTGCTCCTGTGGTCAGCTCTATCTTGCACCATCCTTCACAGGAACAGAGATGGAAAGTATGTGGCTTGCTGCTTTGCCCACAGCAGCGTGGTAAGTGGTGATGCAGCATCCCTCAGGTGCACTCCTCTGCTCAGCACCCCACACCCTCTTGGCAGGAGAACACTTTGACAATCTTGTTAAAGTCAAAGTCCTATTTTCCTACCCTTCCTTCTTTCCCTAACCCCACCCCCAGTGTAGGATTTTATGGTTTGTGAAATAACAATCACCCAAATCCATCACATCTCAAAATCTTAACCGGCATCAAGCACTTGGGGGGGGGGGGTCAAAGGACACAGCAATCTGAGTTGTGTGGCTAACTCTATGAAGTGGCTGCATTTTAGCCATCCCCATACACGCTATGTAAACTTCAAATAAGCCATGCAAGTGTCTGCAGTTTCCCTGACATGTGAATGAATCCCCCTCCCACATTACAAAACCTGTGTACAGGCCTGATTCTGCCCTTGTTTCCATGACTAGAACACTTCTTGGGGGACAGACTTGATCCCCTAGAGTCCAGGGCAACAGAGGGTCCTGTGGCACCTTTGAGACTAACAGAAGTACTGGGAGCATAAGCTTTCGTGGGTAAGAACCTCACTTCTTCATCTGAAGAAGTGAGGTTCTTCTTCAGATGAAGAAGTGAGGTTCTTCTTCAGATGAAGAAGTGAGGTTCTTCTTCAGATGAAGAAGTGAGGTTCTTCTTCAGATGAAGAAGTGAGGTTCTTACCCACGAAAGCTTATGCTCCCAGTACTTCTGTTAGTCTCAAAGGTGCCACAGGACCCTCTGTTGCTTTTTACAGATTCAGACTAACACAGCTACCCCTCTGATACTAGAGTCCAGGATTTTGTTTTAAGAACAGAAATCCATGTCAACTGTGGTCTGGGAAAGCAGGCTAAAAGTCTACTGGTTTTCACTAAAGAGAGTGAAAATACACTTATGTTAACACAGCTGGTTACAGGATAGACCCAAGGAAATCCACCCAGCTCAAAAGGAGGGTGGACAAAGTCTTTCATTCCATATAGTCTTTATTGGTCAGTCTGGGTGCCCTGACTGACCAGCATGCTCACATTTCAACAAGACTAACCATGATCATCAGAACAGACTTTTGAAAAAGGGACTCTGCAGGGGGACTGGGATCACAGAATATCAGGGTTGGAAGGGACCTTAGAAGGTCATCTGCTCAAAGCAGGACCAATCCCCAGACAGATTTTTGCCCCAATCCCTAAATGGTCCCCTCAAGGACTGAACTCACAACCCTGGGTTTGGAAGGCCAATGCTCAAACCACTGAGCTAACCCTTCACCATAATAGCAATAGCTGATAAAAAGTACTTTCTTGTGGGCAGGATGGGGGGCGGGGGAAAAGACTGCAGTAATTTGCAGGACAACACTAAACCTCTCACCAGTTTATCACGTAAAAAACTGCAGCTGAATTCCATTTATATTAACAGACTGTTTTTTGGGTTGTTGGGTTTTTTGTTAAGTAGCATTGGGGAAGCGCTCTCTCTTGTGGGACTTGAGGGATAGGAGTGGGATAAAAATGCAAGAGACAATGAGGAGCAGCAGAGGGTGGGATTAAAAAAAAAAGAATAGCCCTGTGCAGAGTTCTACTCTGCAGTCTGGGTGGATAAAGTAGAGACACAATACCTAATTAATAAATAAATAAGAAAGCTAGCTACACAGGGTTTGCAAATTCAGAGAGTAAGAGAAGTCAGACTTCTGCCATTCTGGGTAGAGCGTGATCAGAGGCATCACTGCAGTCAGTTTGGCAATAAGCCATGCCTCTTAATGCAAGGGCACAGGGACTTGGCCTAGCTGAGAGCTGCATCTGCAGCTTGCCAACACTCTACAGGCCGCATCTTATCTGCAAAAGATTTGATATATAGCAGCCTCCCCGCCTTTTTTTTTTTTTTTTTAAAGCAGGGAGGTGGGGCCCAAGGTGACTACAGGTCCAAGCATGCAGTGTTCCATCTTTGTCTGGGGGGGCGGCCATGCACATCAAGATGGAGCATCCCTTTCGGGGACCTTTAGGGTCAGATTCTCAACTGCTGTAACTCAGCAGAGCGCCCTGCATTTCTGTAGAACCACATCAATTACACCAGCTAAAGATGGAGCCTGCAGTCTCCACGGGATGCATTTGCCTCTCTTGGGCTCCAATCACTTGTAACATGTCACTCCAGCTGCCTCCCAATCTCCAGACAAGGCTGCTGCTGGAACCATTTGATGCACTCACTGTATTGGGAGCGTGGGGAAGGAGAGGAGCTCAGCGGCGCAGCGGCCGCCAAGTGCCTGACCCCTTGCAAGACGGAGCCCGCTGCTGCACCTTGCTGCGCCCCGGAGCCCGCGGGCTGCAGACACGCACGTGGCCGTGCGCTCGGGAGGGACCGAGCGAGAAGAGAGGCTCAGATTTAACCGCGGAAGCTGTAAATGCCTCCGGCGGGGCGGGCCGGTAGCCTGGTTACCGCCCGGCCTTTGGAGAAGCGGTGCTGGGGCAGCGTTCACACGGCAGCCGGGCCCGGCTCGGGGCAAGGAGCGGCGGGCCCCGGTCTGCACTGGGGAGGGGGCAAGGCGCAGGCTGCTGCCAGGTGCGTCCCGCCCGGGCGGGCCCCAGCGCTGCCTCCCCGCCGCTGCCCGGCCCGGGGGGGGGCGCTCGCGTGCGTCCCCGTGCACCGCCCCCGCCTTACCTTGAGCACCCCCCCGTCGCTCTTGGGGGTGATGTCCGCGCCCTCCACGGGAGCCCCCTCCGCCTTCATCTCCTCCGCAGTCATGGCGCGGCTCGCTCCGCAGCAGGGGCTGGCGCGCGGCGCGGCTCGCGGCACGGGGCGCTGGCTGGGCGCTGGGCACGGCGCGCGGCGGAGAGCAGCGCAGGAGCTCGGAGCAGAGGCGCGGCAGCGACAGGAGGCGGGACTGAGAAGTTTCTAGAGGGACAGCAGGGTCTTCTAGTTAAAGGCAGGGGAGGGCCGGGGGCCGGGTCTAAAGTTCGCACCGCGCAAGCACACGAAAAGCAACTGTTAAAAATCCTAGGGGCGGGGAGGCCGGTGGCGCGGTCCCTGAGCCGCAAAGAGGGAGAAGAGCGGAGGCAGGTGTGTGTTTGCACACTGCATGAAGTGTGCAAACACACAATAACTCACTGTTATTAAAAATCACAGCCTGCACAGTGACACTGGATTTATGGCTTATTACAACATCTGTAATAATAAATTTGTTAGTCTCTAAGGTGCCACAAGTACTCCTGTTCTTTTTACGTATCAGAGGGGTAGCCGTGTTAGTCTGAATCTGTAAAAAGCAACAGAGGGTCCTGTTAGTCTCAAAGGTGCCACAGGACCCTCTGTTGCTGTTCTTTTTACAACATCTGTAGTAACCCACTAACAACCCACCCCCAGCTGTTTCCTCCCCGGACACATCTTAACAGGCCATTTCACCTTGCCCGGTCCCTTGAAATGTGTTAAGTACTTATGCTAAATAATCTGTTCCACCTCCACTTGGAGTACATTTCCCAGACCTGAAGAAGAGCTCTGTGTAATCACGAAGGCTGGTCTCTCTCACCAACAGAATTTAGTCCAATAAAAGATATTACCTAGGGTGACCAGATGTCCCGATTTTATAGGGACAGTCCCGATATTTGGGTCTTTTTCTTACATGGGTGCCTATTACCCCCCACTCTCTGTCCCGATTTTTCACACTTGCTATCTGGTCACCCTAATATTACCTCACCCACATTGTCTTTCTTATTGAATCCAGTCATTCCCCATTGCAATAGGTGTCCACTGGGCAGTTCTTTGTAAATTTCACACTCATGTCTGTCTGTGCCTCTGTCCAGTTAAGAGGCTTCTGCCTGAAAGTGGAAAGAATTACAAGTGATCCAGGGTAGCAGAAGCCAATTCAATTATTTCAATCCATTTTTCACCCTTTTTTCTTTGCAGGGAAGAGGAGGTGGTATCCTTGAATATTGCATTTTAAAATCGCATTAAATATTAATTAATCATATATTACACATATATTATATCACACTTTCCATCCATACATCTCAAAGTACTTTAAAAAGGAGGAGCCATATAATGATGCGTTGCTAAGCATTTTAAGTGTAGTAGACAAGCCCTAAGTTTCTTCCAAATCTTAACTTTAAAATTATTTTCATGATTTGACAACTTCAGTAACTCAGCTAGAGGTTATGGATCTATTACAGGAGTGGGTGGATGAGGTTCTGTAGCCTGCAATGTGCAGGAGGTCAGACTAGATGATCACAATGGTCCCTTCTGGCCTTAAAGTCTATGATCATTTTACAGATAAACAAACAGGCATAGAGATGAGATGTAATGTGCCCATTGGGGTCACAGAGTGAGAAAATGGTACAGCCAGGACTAGAACTCAGGTCTCTGACTTTCCTGTCTGGTGCTCTCTCTGAAAATGGTGACTTTAAAATAAAACGAAAAACAAGCAATGCAAACACTCTCATAGCAACATTGACTCTCCCTCTTAAAAGGCCTGTTTGCTAGCCAGACTTCTGTTTTTGCAGGCACAATTTTGCAGCTGCAGTGAATTGTGCCTACTGTTTTGTGACAGCCTTTTCCTGGCAATTCATTGCGGGGTAAAATTTTACATGCAATTTATTGCAGTTTTGCCCCCACCAAATGTAATGCCACAACGGCTAGGCATAGTTAACTTCTGATCTTGAGTGCACTGGTGCAAATGAGGAGTAAGTAATTATACTGACCTCAGTGGAGTTACTTTGAATTTGCACTGATGTACAAGCAATCAGTATTTGGGCCAGTATTCTTGGGATACCCAGAATACCTGATTTCATGTTCACTTTTCATTCTTACAATTACATTCATGTAGGGTTTGTTTGCCTTTTTCTTCTCCTAACCAGCATCTTTACAATTTCTCCTGTCAGTTGCACATTTTGTGCCCCCTCTGTTGCACACAGCATGAAGGAAGCTGCCAGCATGTTCCCGAGATTTCTTGCACTTTCTCTTCCCATTTTCTCTTACACTTTTCAGACGTTCCCTAAGTGTCTGGGGGCGTGGGGTGGGGTTGGCTCTGCAGCGCCCTACCGAGTAGGCAGTGCCCTCTGCTGTCACTTCCTGGTGTCTGCAGCAGACATGCAGAGAATGTTGCCCTGCCTCCCGCCAGGCCCACTGCCGTGGTGTGAAATCCCTGCATCCGGATCCCCCTGACATCCGACTCCAATGGCAACACAGCGCCCCAGGAGTCGGTTCTCCTAGTGTGATTCGTTCTCAGTAAAGCTCTGCCTCACAAGTGACACCTGCTGCAAATAACAGTCATTATGGCAAGACAACGCACGTACAGTCACACAGCCCTGCAATCCCGGGGAATGCAAAGAGAAACATCTTTTGTTTGGGACTTTTTCTTTTTTACTTCCTCATCCTGTTTGCCTCACACAGGGTGGATGGGTACCTCATGAAAGAGATTGACAGCCGGCTAGATTGTTTTACATTAGTGTTTTCACTAATCTCCTCTTACATGTTCTAAACCCTAAAAAGAGGGGGAGGGAGAGGTAATTTTAGTGTAATCCAAGGGTGTCTTTTCCTTAGTATATGGGTGTAGTCTGCAGACCCGAAGTCTGTGAAAGAACATGCCTAGCCAAACAAACACAAAGCTATGCTATTATTTGAGGGGGGAAGGAGTAAATGGAGTAAGGTTGTGGCTTCTGGGTGGTACCTAATCAGTATTTTCTTTCTTCCTAGAATCTTTTAACTCTGTATTTCCCTGGTGATATACTCTGTCTTTCCTTCTTTCATTCACTGTGGTTTGACTGCATCTGGGAATTGCATTTCAGCAGGATGAATGTTTGTATTGAACTCTTAGACAAATGGTCCTTCAGTAAAGGACTTTCACTGACACCACGTGATATTTGACTGCTCTCCTTTGACAGTTGCTAGGTTTGCCTTTGATTCACAATCTGGCTACGACCCCCCCCCCAACTCTGCAATGAGCTCTGTTTGGGGGACTACTGCACCCACATGGTGCTTATTGCAGCATCAGGGCCTTAAGCAGTAGTGCTCTTACTAGGATGACCAGACAGCAAATGTGAAAAATCGGGATGGGGGTGAGGGGTAATAGGAGCCTACATAAGAAAAAGACCCAAAAATCGGGACTATCCCTATAAAATTGGGACATCTGGTCACCCTAGCTCTTACATCTAGAAGGGAATGGATGTATTGTGGGATGAGCATGATCCCAGTGGTTTTCTCTCCACCCCTCCCCCCATCATTCCCTGCTCTAGAAACATTGTTTTTATAAATCAGAAAGTTGTCCTCCCCACAAATTTTATAATTTTTAAATATAAAATTGCACATTATTCATACACATGAATAATGTGCAATTTTATATTTAAAGTATTTGTAACGTTCCAAAAATGATCCTATATAATGACAATATTTCTATGTCGCAACTTATATCAATCATTCATATAAATTATAATGTTACAGGAAACACACGATGGGACTGGTTTAGCCTTTTGCAAGAAGCAACACTTCCCCAACTGCCCCCACCTTTTCTGCTCTCCCTGCTGTTCCAGGGATTCTCCTCTGCCTGGAACCTAGCAGCTGCTCTTCCAAGAGAAGTCCTGGAGTGGAGTGTGTTGTTGTGTGTGAGCAGTGTGCATTAGGGGAGTGCTGCCAAGGCTCAGCTGCAGCAGGGATGGCGAAGGCTCCACTCCTCCTGTAGTCACATTGTGCAGCTGCTGTGTCTGGAGCAGCCCTCAAAATTGTAGGAATGGAGAAGCTTCTCATGTTATTGTGAGAGCTCCCCCTGCAGGCTCCAAAATCCAGTGACTTGCGATTAATACACAAGAGTTGGTACTACTGAATTTGTGTGTGCTCAGAAAGGGCAATACAAATATTACCAAAAACTGATACTGCAAAAGAACTTAAGGGTGGTCTAAACTTTAAACTGTAAACTTTGTACCCGGGGGGGGGGGGGGGAGAACATTAGGGGCTCAGGCTACACGCAGAAATGGCACCAATTTAACTAACTTAGTTTGACATGCTAGAAGTGAGAATTTAGGAAAAGCAGAAATGAAGAAGGGGAGAGGAGCTTGGTGAAAAAGTGTTGTCTGGCTATTCCAGACATAGGGAATGTCATGGAAAAAAGCATGGAAGCAGGACTGCAAGAAGAAAATGAAGGGGGCCTTGAAGCTGGTGTCATTGTCGAAGTGAAAGGGATGACACAGAGAGACACAAATAGAGACAAAGGCCGTGATGCTCATTTACACATGCTTTAAGACCTGTTTATACTGCCAGAATATTGTAAAGGAGCCTTCCTGTAAAAAGAGATTCAGGCCCATTGTGAAAGATATAGCTCAGAGATGATTGATATAGATCCTCAAAACGAAAAGACAAGAAGTATGCAAGGCAAAGGCAGCCAGTGGAGGTATTCAAAGAGAGCAGATGACTTGAACAGAATTCCGGCTGAGAACAAGGAGTTTGGCAGCTGATTTTGGACAGACTGGAAGAGGAGCAAGGTAATAGAGAGGACAAGTGTGCAGTAGTCAAAGTGGCACACATGAGTATAAACTGGCTATGACTAGATTGAGGTTGGAAATGAGAAGGCTTCTAACCATCAAGGAGTGAGCTTCTGGAACAGCCTCCCAACAGGAGTTGTGGGGGCAGAAAACCTAACTAGTTTTAAGAAGGGGCCTGATAAATTTATGAAGGGAATTATATGGTGGGATTGTCTATGATAACGGGGGACTGGACTCACTGACCCAGGAAGATTCTTCCAGTCCTATGTCTAAAGTGGAAGAGGACTAGGGTGTGGGGAACTGCTATAACCACTGGAAAAGTGAGGAAGAAGCAGACAATAAAGACAGTGTTTCAAAAGATCAAATACATTTTGAAATACTTTGGCCTATTACAATACAAAATCTTGTAAACATGAAGGAAACTACATTTAAATTATGCATCATTTTTGTTTCA